TAACTGTTTGGTAACATTCACCAGTGAAACCATCTGGTCCTGGGCTTTTCCTTTTGAGGAGGGTTTTGATTACTGATTTAATCTCCTTATTCATTATTGGTCTCAGATTTTCTGTTTCTTCATGATTCAGTCTTGGTAGGTTGTATTTTTCTAGGAATTTATCCATTTCTTCTAGATTATCCAATTTGTTGGTTTATAATTGTTCATAGTAGTTTCTTAAGATCCTTTGTATTTTTGTGTTATAATGTCTACTCTTTCATTTCTGATTTTGAGTCCTCTCTCTTTTTTCTTTTAGATAGTCTCACTAAAGTTTTGTCAATTTTGTTAATCTTTTCAAAAACACAGCTCTTAGTTTTGTTGATCTTTTCTATTGTTTTTCTGATCTTTATTTCATTTATTTCTTTTCTTATCTTTGTTACCTCTTTCCTTCTTCTAGCCTTGGTCTTAGTTTGTTCTTTTTCTAGTTCCTTGAGGGGTAAAGAGATCAAAAGACCAATAAGCCTCAAAATCCTGTGAGCACCATCAGTGCTCAGGTTGGCCATGTTCTACATAGGCTTAGGATAATGATTCACAGCTGACTTCTTAAATCTTGGGTTTTGCCAAAAATCTGGATTTTAAATAGATAGAATAACAACTTTAAAGGATTGCAATAAGAATGATCAAGATTATGGTCTTTATTTTTAGAGGGCAAAGAATATAGGCTGCCTTTGGAGAGGGGTAACCATTACATGTTGCTTGTACATATCAATGGGTAGGAGCTCTTAGTCCATAGGAATCAAATTACTGAAAATGTCAACAAGGAGAAAAAATTCCCCTCAAATACTTCATGTGCAGTTTTCTTTTTTCTCTAGGAGCACTGATCTCAATCTGATGTAAATCTCATTAAAAACACTAATAAAATCTTCCTGATAAATGCAAGGCTTTCTGATAAATAAATTTTCACTTCCTTTTATTAATTCATTCAAAAAAGCATGCTGAATTCTTACATATTGTAGAGTATGAAAAGAAGAATGATTGTCCCTATCCATAAAAGGTTTGCAGTTTAGTAGAGGAGATAATATATTTTCATAAATAACTATATTAAGGAGTAGAAGATAAGAGGAATAAGAACAATTAGGACAGGAAGAGGAAAGATTACTCTGAGGTTCAAGGAATAAACCCAAAGTAGGTCTTATCTGAAATAGACTTTGAAGGAGAGCTGTGATTCAGAAAAGCAGAGCCAGCAGAATCAGAGAGGGGACTACAGACCAAAGGAATAGCCTGAGAAGGGCAAGTACAGAGGGAAAGAGGACATGCCTGAAAACACACTGATCTCAATCTGATGTAAATCTCATTAAAAACACTAATAAAATCTTCCTGATAAATGCAAGGCTTTCTGATAAATAAATTTTCACTTCCTTTTATTAATTCATTCAAAAAAGCATGCTGAATTCTTACATATTGTAGAGTATGAAAAGAAGAATGATTGTCCCTATCCATAAAAGGTTTGCAGTTTAGTAGAGGAGATAATATATTTTCATAAATAACTATATTAAGGAGTAGAAGATAAGAGGAATAAGAACAATTAGGACAGGAAGAGGAAAGATTACTCTGAGGTTCAAGGAATAAACCCAAAGTAGGTCTTATCTGAAATAGACTTTGAAGGAGAGCTGTGATTCAGAAAAGCAGAGCCAGCAGAATCAGAGAGGGGACTACAGACCAAAGGAATAGCCTGAGAAGGGCAAGTACAGACGGAAAGAGGACATGCCTGAAAACAGCACTACCAAGCATGAAAGGCAATGGTGGTGTTGATGGGGGTTGTGGGTGTGGGGATGAATGACAGATGGTGAGGCCCTTGAACATATGACTGTGACCAGACACTCAAATGCAATTGTGCTCTACTCTCTATTTCTACCTTGAATTCAGCCCTGGAGTAAAGCAACTTCAATTAAACCTTATTCAAGGTTAAAGGTGTGTTTTTTAAAAGCATCTCTTATACCATCCTTTGTGTGCCACTCTTATTATAACTAGGAGAAAGCAACAAGATCTGAATTTTTTTCTTGGCATGTTTTGGCTCTAAACTTTTAGTTATCAGGCACTCATCTGGTGAGATGTTGGTAGCAACTGCCTTCATATTCCACTGGCCAGTCTTCAGTGGCATATCTCTCTGAAGTTAGTGGTCTCAGCTCTGAAACACCCCTATGTGAGTACAAAGACTGCTGTGAGAGGAGCAAGCTGGGAAGCACCTAAACTGAAAGGCGAGCTACATGTGTGAACAGAGGTAGTCTGGGAATAAGAGCTAAATGGCTGGGCCCGTCTGTTTGTTTGAATTGAAGGCCTCTCCCTAACTCTTCCATTAAACACCCAACTAATCTGCAATTGCCCTCTTAGAACTTAGTGCAACTTCCAGCATTTCAAAATCATCAAATATAAAGAGGTACTACCTTGAAAGAAGGTCTTTTGTTCAATATGAGGGACTAACTCCAACTACAAAACTCTACAAATGGCTCCAAATGGGAGCAAGATAGATATATAAATCACTAACTCTATTAAGATATGTAAATAATAAACTTAGAACAAGCTGGCACACAGCTTAAAAAAAGTGTCCTTTGAAACTTCTGAGAATTTAGAATTAGAATGCCAAAGTGCTGGCAGAATGTTTCTGATGAAATAGGCCTTAATCTGCTAGGGAAACATTTTTGGGTGGGGTCTCTAGAAAGCTAGTTCTTACATAAACTCCATTCAGCAATAAAGTTTACGTTCATGTTTTCTCTGATTTCCCTGTTTTAAATTCCTTTAGTGTAGGAATCCTGTTAGCTAGTCTCTGTGCCCCAGCATTTTTTAGGATAACATAAAGATCCTGGGCTTCACCCCAGACCCAACCAATGAGGCTTTATAGGGACATGGTCCTGGAATTTGAATTATAGAGAAGAGACTTCTATATTTCTGTGATTACCAAAGTTACTTCTACCTAGATTCTTCTTATGTTATTCTTTCAGCTCCTATCTTCCCAGACACCTGAACTATTCAAAGATGGAGTGGATGCTGGGGCTAGATATTCTTCTCAGCAGGTATTTTGCCAGATGAATGATGTCATCCAGAGTCAAAAACTTAATCCAGTACCTTCACCAACAAGTCACAAACAGCCAAGGGATCTATTGCGGGTAGAATTTCAGAGGATAATTACAAACCAAATTTCTTTAGATACCCAAACACTATTTACTTTTTTTCCTTTTAATACTGGTCATTTTTCTCCCCTTTGTTTGGGTTAGTCTTTTTTTTTCTTTTGGATTTCCCCCAGATACTGAGTAATAGGACTGGCTGTGTATGTCGGAAGAGAAATGATTAAAACAATTAGCGGTCTTGCAAAAACATATCTTACAAAATAATTTCATTTCTAACATATAAACCCCACATTTCCTCAGCCCATTTAAGCTTTTCTTATTTAAGTACAAGTAAGTGTATATTATGGATACAAGCAATTTCTCTATTTTCTAAATACTGTCTTTGATCTAAAGTTTAAAAATATATTACCAAATATATGTTTAAAAGTTTTATACTTTAAGTCAATCGACTGTTTATGTTATAACATTGTTGTATGTTCTATGAAAGAAATTGAAGTAAAATGTACATCACATTTAACAAGGAGGTTGTGTGATTGATAAGAGATGGACCTAGAGACAGAAGACCTAGATTTAAGTCCCAGTTTATTAATCCACATGATGCTAGAGAAATTCACATGATGTCTCCGAGTGTGTTTCCTCTTCCAATGAAATAAGAATCAAAATAATTCTTATTTCATACAGTTATTATAAGGAGTAAGGGGGATATATATTTTGTTTCCCAATTAAGCTTTTTACAAATGCCTGATACTGCTAAGGAAGTCACAACTTGTTCCTTGATCTCTGAAACAGTCTTCTTTTTTATTTCCATTCTTTGGGTTTTTCAAAATGAGAGGTGGTTTTCTTGTCTCTTTCTTAAGGATTTAGGACATAATTTTTGTCCTAAATCGATGAGCACATTTGGCTCATCTACTATCAAATATGAAATGCAGTGCCTGCATTCAGATGACACTGTTGCCACCAAGTGGTCACTGGGGGATACTGCAAGCAAAAATCTAGGTGTGATAAGTCACAGCATCATAATGTCTTGGCAGGCAATTAAAATTCTGTGCAAATGGACCCCAAACAGTAGTTTTTGTTCTCCTCCCCTGTTGACATAAACTGAGGAACACAACTTTGACCTAAACCTGTAAAACCACCTTACTCTTTCTTCCTTCCTGACCTACCCTAGGGCTCAGAATCAACAACAATTAGAAAATTGTTAGCTCTTTCCTAAATCTCTAATGCCTCTTCCCTGTACTTACAGCCAAAGACCTGCAGAGAAATCTGAGACCTGTGATGCCAGAATGGGGGCTAACCTGATCCACCGGCAGTCTACTACCAAAATATACCCAGCATTTTATATGTGTTTAATCCTTACAACTCTATGAGTAGCATAGCAGTATCTTTGTTTTAGAGGTTAGGATACTGAGGCTCAGCTTGGTTCAGCAACTTTTCCAAGGTCACCCAGTTCAAGAGCAGCAGGATAAGCAGGCTTCAAACCCAGCACTGAGCCACAGTTCTCTCCACCACTTCTCAAGGCCTCCCTCCATGTCCCATCTCTGCTCTGCAACTTTCTGCTTCACCTTCTGTGGAGTTTTAGGAAGATAACCTTTACCCCAGATACCTATGTCAGCACATTAGAGTCACCTGGGGAGATTTTTACAAATACGAATGCCTAGGTTCCATCCAGACGATTTATAACCAAAATTCTGGGAGAGGGGCCCCAGCATCTTAAGTCTTTTTTTTTTAAATTCTGCAAATGATTCTGTTGCACAGTTGGAATTGAGAACCGCTGGTTTAAATCATGATGCTACTCATGTTAAAACATTTTTCTATCGCTTTAACATTTAATCAGGGGTATATTCTTCTTATAAAATATCTTATTAACACATAGTTTCTCTCTTATTGTAATAACAGGTGGATGATATATTTATAGATTCAGCCTTGAACAAGCATTATATCAAGAACCAAGTAGTCAGACTGACGTATGTATGTTTGGGCAAAGGTGGATTCACATCCTGGAGTGACAAAGGGCAAAAGAGATAGGAACCCTCATATACTGTTGCCTCTATGAGCTTGGCTTTTGGCTAGGATTTCTTATAAATATTATTTCGACAACAGTCTCGAGATACAGGGCCGACCACCAGTTTGTAAACACAAAAACTAAGACTCTGGGAGGTTAAGTGATATGTTCAAATTTCCGCAAGTGACAGAACCAGGATTCAAATCCCATCAACTGATTATAAGGCCTGGGACTACCAGAAATCATAGCTTTGGGAAAACCCAGCAGCATGTCACTGCATGCACCAAGCTGTATTCTTTCAATACACATGTCATTTCAACAGTATTAAGAAGGCAAAGTTGACTACAAAATGGGATCATAAGTCTTACCTGTAATGAAGCCCTAGTTACAGGAGCCATGCCCAAACAAAAAGATGTTCCTGTTTTAATGAATTTCTGCTTGTTGTGGTGGAGAGGGAAGACTCCTGTCATTTGCAGATATTGCTCAGAGGTTTCAATTGTGTTATTTGGAAAGCTCATAGCAGAACATATATGTAACAGATACAAACATATGGGCCTGTGTGACTCATCTTCTTAAAGAAAATGAATATAGTCAGACAGATCTATTTGAAGGAAATAATAATCGGTTTTCTCATCAATAGGCTAATGCTTTATTGGCAGACTTATCCCAAGTTCCTTATACCTTTATCGAGTAACTAGTGACCTCCAGAAGGATTTTACAATATATATTGGATAAATTTTATAATATTTAGGAGATAAAAAGCATGTATTTGCCAAAACTTTCTAGATTTCATGCCCTCCGTTTTTAAATTCTGACTTGCCATAGCATCTTAGCAAAATTATCATAGTCTTAAGAACTCCTTTGAATTTGTAGCCACTATCATTTTGTAAGCTTTTGTGTGGGTCCAGAGAAATCCCACTTGGTAAACAATGTTTTCCCTCTGATTTAAAAAGAGGGAAAATTACTAGATTGTATATTTACCAATTTGACATAAAATTCTTTTATTTATATCTTCACATTCCAAAGCCTAAAAGAACCACAATATATAAAATGCCTTTAAACTGATATGATTCCCTCTTTTTTTAAATCGAAGAATTCAGGAAAATAGGGCTTCAGTGCTTTTTAGGGCTTGGATCTTTTGAAATGTAAAAATAAAAGACATGGCAGATCAACACATAGGTTTCCATTTTTCTTAAAGCCCTTTAATTGTTTGGTTTTCCTACTTTAAGAGTATGGAAAAATTCAACCCCACAAGGGGCTTGAACTTGTGTATATGAAAAAAGTTCAAGGAACTGGACATGTGTAATCTGGAGAAGACTCAGACACCAAGAATATCACTGTCTTCAAATATTTTATGTGGAAGAGGGAACTGATGTTTTATGTATGTCCCAACTGGTAGACCTAAGCCTATGGAATGTAAGCTTTAGGGAGACATATTTCAACTCCGAGTGAAGAGCTCTCTTAAAATCAGAGCTGACCAAAGAGAAATACCCTCTTTAGAGAAGTAAATCTTTTTAATTACTGTGCTGGGGTTAGATGACCACTTATCATGGAAGCTGTAGAGCTGATGAAGGTATCACACGAGGGACTGGCCAAAGACACCATTAAAGTTTTTTCCAATCCTCAGGGTTTATAATTTTGATGATAAATTTTGGTGTCTGAGTCTAACTCAAATGCTATAGCAAGCCTTCAAATTATTGGGGAAAATTCACTCAGAACATAATGAAAACTTGAAGAGGGAACATATGAAGTGATCTTGAGTCAGAAAGTGACATATATGAGTTATCAATGTGAGATGATTAGTTCTTGACACTTTCAACAACTGAGGCATAATTCAGGAGAAGACAATACAGAAAAGAGAGTTAGATAATACTGGATGTATTTTTTGAACAAGTACATTTCTCTTGTGTGTCACAGTCCAGAGGAAGACGGTGTGACGGTAGATGTCATTATGGTGTTCCAGTTCCCCTCTGCTGAGTCAAGGGCAGTGAGAAAAAGGAAAATCTGTAGCATGTTAAAGAAGAAGATAAGTAACACCACAGCTTTGTCAATAAATGCCTCATCAGTTGAAGTTAATGGTAAGTAGGTACCTTTCTATGTGATGTGAAGTTCTCTATTAGGTCCATATTTTTTCTAATCATAAACTTATTTACCATTACTTCCATTCCAAATAATGGCTAGAATTCAGATGGAAAAAATTTCAAGTTAAAAAAGTGACTTTTAAAGGTTTTATTATTCTCTGATGAAAGCATGTCTGAAGTTAGTTGTCAAGTGATTTTTTTCTGTAGTAACTGACTGGCACTCATCCAGAAATCAAATCAAACCTTTACCACTAACACAGTCAATCTGAGCCAGCCACTTCCTCCATGACTAAGCAGGTGAAAATACCAAGTGTTTAGCAAAAACTGTTTTTCTGTTTCTAAAACATAAACTCATTTGTTGCCTTTTTAAAATATGAATAGTTTCTGTAAACAGTGAAATTATGGAGTTTATGTTAACTTTTTTTCCTATGGGCATTTGAGAAAATGGTAAATCAACTTTGGAGCCACTAAAGCCTTCTTATAAGTAATGCTTTAAAAATCACTAAACTAGAAAAGAAATCATAGGAACGAGAAGTAATCTTTATCAAGGCCCTTCTCTATATACTTTACATGCAGCATCTAATTTCTATATTCTTATGAATTAGGCAAATTCACCTTTATAGATGTGAAAGAGGGGCAAAAAAGGCTAAGGACTCCAATAATTAAAAGGAGCAAACATTCGGGACTTCTGTGGTGGTGCAGTGGTTAAGAATCCACCTGCCAATGCAGGGGACATGGGTTTGAGCCCTTGTCCGGGAAGGTCCCACATGCCACAGAGCAACTAAGCCTGTGCACCACAACTACTGAGCCTGTTCTCTAGAGCTCTCAAGCCACAACTACTGACCTCGCATGCCACAACTACTGAAGCCCGTGCACCTAGAGCCCGTGTTCAGCAACAAGAGAAGCCACTGCAATGAGAAGCCCATGCACCACAACGAAGAGTAACCCCCACTCGCTGCAAATAGAGAAAGCCCGTGTGCAGCAACGAAGACCCAGTGCAGCCAAAAATAAGTAAATAACTTTTTTTTAAAAAAGGAGCAAACATTCAAATCTAGATTACTAATTTCTTGAGAGGCTTGTGAAAAAAGGGTGTGGTCAAACGCATTTCAGAAATTCAGTCTATGATATTCACCTCTTGGAAATTCATCCCTTATATTAGCATACTAAAGACTCTGAGGAGACCAGCTAGACAGAAACCTGTTTAACCCTGTACATTAAGCTGCTTCCACAAGCATCTATTTCTGGAAGACAAGTGCAGATTTCCCATACAAATTCCAGGGGACACCAGACTTATGAGTCACAGAAGAGATTCAGAGTAAGTGTGATTAATATCAGATGTGAAACAGAAGGCCCTGCCCTTGCAAGGGTCTGCTTGACCCTTTAAGAGGAAACCTGACCAGGAAGTGAAAATCTGCCGGAATGGGATGGGCAGGAGTTTGCTGATGAGACAAAGAGTCAGCTAGTCAGGGAATAAACCTGGGGACCTCTCCCAACCCAGGAGGGAAGAACCTGTCAAGGGCTTAATCCACCTTCTTTGTTTTCTTGTTTGTGGGGAAACAAATGAATCAAGGTTGTGAAATAGTGGAAGCTCTGATAAATTACATGATGTGTTCTATGTAATTTCCAACAACCAGTTACTTTGCCAGGAACTTAAAAGCCTGAGCTATCTGAAACCAGAAATGAAGTATGAAATGGTCATCAGTTGTCTGGGCTCTTTGTTTCTTATAGGTTTAGTTTGTGACCTGCAGCTTTTTTAATGACTATAGTAGATTAAAGGGCAGGATGTGCTGATGGAGAACCTGATTTGAGAGTTACCTAATTCTAACTCCACTGAGTCACTGCAGGAACACCCAAGTAATTGGCCCATGCCTTTGCTCCATCTTCTCATCTATAAACTTGCAATGATAATGTTTGTTATTCCTGAAGTCACAGAAATACCATGAAGATACACTAGAAAATAGAATATGGAACATATAGGCCATTACCTCTTAGAAAGCTAGCAAATTGTGCATATGCGTTGGAAACCTGAAAGCATTAATGTGAGTAACTGGTGGTAGAAAAGGCTATAACCTTGAAGCTTTCCAAATTTCCAAATATAAAAAGAGCATTGTTTACTAGTACTTAGGAAAGGCCCATTTAGTAGAAAGCTCAGTAGAATCCTCAAGGCAATTCTCACAGACAAAAACATTGCTCTCCAGCAAAACTTAATTTAGGGGACTTCAAATGAATGGAGAACGGCAGAAATTCTAGACCAAGTCTAGAAACAACCCTGCAGCCCAAGATTTATCCATAATTTGTCAAGAATCTGTGTTTTGGCTTGACAAATAAGTGTGTGGTGTGGGTCTTTCACGTGATGTAATGTGTCAGAGCAAAATTAAAATCAGCTCCTTTGAATTGCAAACACCATGGCTGTGGAAGAGCG